TTTTTATTATTTATTTTCTAAATTTAGACACGAAGTAATGTGGGTCAGTCCACTTTCTATAAGTGCAGGGGCCTGGTGAAGGACCAGCAGGCATTTGGGTTTGGGGCCGATGGTTTTTACCAGAGCAAGAGTGGTAGGTAGCATGAGAACAAATGAAAGTTTGAACTCTGTATTTATTTGGTGAAAGAGGAAAATAAATCACCAAGAACAATCAATAAGTTTGGACATTGAACCTTCTTTTGCCCGTGTCGAGAAACATGACCCCAGTGCCTTAGTAGTGACTTGGTGGAACTTTTATTGGATGTTTGGCTTGGCAAACAGTCAGAAGTGGTTCTAGCTAGTTTGGTTCTTCACCTGTTTATCAGCTTTATTGTACCTTTATTGTGGCGCACTGCAGCTGCTGCAATTCCTAAAAACAAGCGACAAAAACTGAGCTAATCCCCTGTGTTCACAAAATGTGGTGATATTTATAACAGTCATCAAACTACGGCTCCTACAGCATATTTAAAATAAAACGATTGACCAATATAAATAGAAATTCGCCCCTTCTTGCATCTTGGCAGAACTAACAGAAACTAAACTGTTTATAGATTTGTATCATGGAGAATTTATCAAACATCAGTTTTCTAATCTTTATTTTAAGTTGTATTTAATAGATGTATCTAATAACAAATGATTGGTCTACTAATATTTTCGTGACAGATTTCTCCTTGTCCTGTATTGGGATACAATGGTTTTCTGGACACAATGAATCACATAGCGACCAATAGGCGCTGTCCAGTCCAGTAATATTAGCAGGAGTATGAAAGACGTAAAAATAATTAACTATACTAACTGTGCTACATGAAGCTCATTTTGAAACAATGCAAGTTAAAAACAATATTTTGTGTGTGCCACCCCTGAAAAAATCCCTGCCCCCCTCTTGCCACCCCATAAATATTTTTCTAGATCCGCCCCTGGATCGAACCCAGGTTGAGAACCACTGTCCTAGAGCAAAGCCGTCAGGTTAGGACTGCCACCCACCAAATTAAACAGAGTAAAGTCAAAAAAATATTCAGAAAGATAACTTAGCGGTAGAATACAGTTCTAAAGCAATGCAGAAAAAAAACAAAAAAACATCACAACTTCCCATTCTGTTCATGGTTGAACTTCTACCGGAGAAATCTAGCTCACTGGGAGAAAGTCCAGATGGAGAGATGAAGTGAGATTAGAATTGAGTGGAATTGCTCTGCAGGCCAGGCTAGGATTTGTCTTTTGTCTTTGATTAAGGGCCAGGTTTTGTTTTTTCTGCTTGCACTACTAGGCCCACACATTTGTCAAACTATCCAAACCCTAAGAATAATAATAATTAAAAAAAAACTATATACCCCTTTGCCTGTCACTGCACTCAACACCACTGAAGGAAATTACATAAAACCTCTGAAGAAGATATGAGCAACTTCTATGCAGAGAAAATAGTCTCAAACTACCTGGATTTGTACTTCGTGTAAGCTTCTTTGTGTGTAACTTTGGATAGTTGTATCTGTGGAACATGATTTGTAAACCATAAAACAAAATTTGTGCGTAACTCCAGGTACTTGTAAATATGTGGTCAAATGCATACAAATGCATATGAAGCAATTACAAATACACAAATACAATTTCTACATACATTCAATTTCTACACACAGATTTTTAACTGCAACCTCACAAATCTGATAATTACAAATTCAAACCTTGTGTGCATCTTCTACGGCTACAATTAGGCGTAGGAGATACACACAGACAAAACTGTATTCATGCACAGATCCGGTTAGAAGTGCACAAGGACTTTTGAGGCTCATTTCACGCTTCCAGCAGCCTCAGATTTGTGTGCAAGTGGTGCATTTCAATGCTGGTGGAAAGCTGGGTCATCCGATTCTTGTTCAAAGTCCAGTGTTTTTAATTTTCTGAACGTTGCTGTACTTGTGCCGAAGTGGCAAGGATGTTATTTCACTGAAAACAGAATACCTCAACACTTTTCAATACTCCAAAATTATTTATTAACATATTGTGCATTTTTCAGCCGTACAGTTGAGATTACATGGTTTAAAAGAACGACCACAAGGTGGTGGAATGGTTCGTTGGCTGGAAAAACAGGCCATCATACAACATGGAGCGTCCCGGTGGTCTGCCCTCACAAGTCAGTACAAGTTAAACCTCCACGCTTTGCTCTCCAATTATAATGGAACATCTAGTAATTTGAAATAATTTCTAGTAGTTTGATACTCTGTCCTTTTTCTGTCAGCAGGAGCCAGTGTCCATGTGAGTGATGCTACTTTAGCTGTTGGTAGCCAAGTCCTTGTATTTTTAATGTCACACTTTAAGAAAGTATATTCAGTCCATGAAAATGATCTCTACGGTGGTTCTTACAGTATCTGTTCTGCCTAACAGGTTCCAATCAAATTCTAAAGTCACGTTGCCGATTGATAATATTTTTGTAGTGTGTAAAATATTCTGATATGCCTTTTACTTTATTCACTAAGTGAATATAATTTAGTCAAATAAACTGCCTTTCAATTGTAATTTATTGAATTTCTATATGTATAAATGACCTTATATTTACACACAGGACAGAGCAGCTGACTGATGGATTGGGGTCACATGTTATTTTACTTACTGGAGGATCAGGACCTTTCAGATCTCATCAACCCTCTGATCTGATGGAGCGGCTGCTGGAACACACTGACCCTCTACAACAGGGGTCCTCAAATCCAGACATCGATTTCGGTGTCCTGCATCATTTACATATGTTCCTAGTCCAAGCCACCTGAATCAAATGGCTGCTTGAGGTCCTGAGAATGACCTCAGGATTTGAGTCGGATGTGTTAAAGCAGACCTGCTTCCAGGTTGGTTTTGGGATGGACTTCCGGTTTGCCTCAAATGCAATCTGGATGTCAACAGCAGCACTTGGTCGTCATTGCTGACTTTTGTTTATTTACTCTTCAGATTGTGTGTCATCACTGTTACAGCAGTCCTGACACCCGGGACCTGTAACACAGAGACATCTAAACATTGGAGAACACCGAACCCTCCTGAACTGGAGGTTCAGCTGTTGGATTCAAGTGTGTTGGATCAGGGAAACGACTAAGAGTTGCAGGACACCTGACCTCCAGGACCATTGCTGCCCATCCCTGCCCTAGAAGCTAATGAAGAGAAATACTAAATTTAAACAAAAAAATAGGTAACAAAAATAAAAAAATTAGTTAAAATGGAATAAAAATGCATACCTCATATATACAGTTTAGTACAATTACACACTGATTTCTAGTCAATATGGCACACAATATGGAAGCTATTGAAGAAAACATTTAATATTAAAATTATTTAAAATATTGAATATGAGTTGACATTTTAATAGAGGGTAGTGTGTGTCATGTAAAAGCATGAACTACCACTTTTTTGTATCAGTTGGTCACAAGGCATTTATTAACATTTGTTTGACAGGAGTGTTCTTTTCGGAAATTTGTTGACAGGCCCTAAGTGAACCTCCGAGTGCTGAGGAGGGAGCTGGAGAGCGGCTGGCAGAAATTAGCGTTCATAAATCGGATCAACCTTGAGCTAAACGCCGCTTGCTCGGCGGACATTGGAATATGCAATATCCAACTCGAAACTAAATTCACTGCAGTCAGTAACACAACAAAACCACCAGGATATAGTTTGTTTTGGACTGTGGCCTGTAAAGATGGCACCGAGCGACTGCACGAAACGTAAAC